GAAATCTCCAATTCCAATTTTACCCTTATTTGCCCTCAATATATGCAGCGCGTGTTTCCCAACTTCATTTTTATTACAGTTATGCCATGAAATTAATCTAGATCATTGATTAAAAAATGAATGGTTTAGATTAAGGTTGCATAGGTTGTATGAATGGTAGAGGGTGTAGAATAACACCTATATATATATATATATATATATATTTGCGGGAGGTGCCGTCCTCTTTCCCAAATGCTGTATGTACAGAAATGAGGCACTGATGTGCCATCAATTTGTGTGTGGGTGTATGGTGCCACTACAGCTGTAGTGTTTTGGTGCATCTGTGTGAGATATATCAAGGAGAGGACCCTGTTCCTGATTTTCAGGCATCCTTTGGATGTTATTAACTGCTCCCTTGCAATTTGTACTTTTCTCTTGCACCAACTTCAAGTTGTGCTAAAAACTCTGTTGGGTCCTTAATGTACCATTGGTCCTAACCGTTGACTTTGAGAACTTATTTAGGTATTACAAAAATAATAACAAAAAGAAATTTTTAATGAGGAAGGTCCACATTGGATTCATGACTCTTCTTATTTATGACAACAGAATAACTACATTAATCCTGGGTTGGCCAGGTCATGAGGATGAACATTCTTTAATTGCTTGAATTCACCAAGGTGACATATTCTCTTTTGATGGAGAGCATAATTGGAAACACATCTTCATTATTGAGTAATTTAAGCTGTGGATACCTATATTGAACACTTTGGCAAGGAGCCAAAGAGGGGGAACCTAAAATGTTTATGTGTCGTGCACAGAAATCATAGTTTGTAAGTTAATGAATACAATGTGCTGCGCATTCCCTTTCGATATGAGGAAATATAGCGTCTAAGATTTGGCATGTTATTCATTGTTTGGACCTATCTACAGTGGTCTTTCTTCCTGGTTTCTATTACATGTATTCGATAGTATTGCCTGATTCATAGGAAAAAGATTTCAGTCATTGAACTTCCTTCAATAAGGATGATCCTTTTATGATTATCATGAACCATGAACAGTTTCTTCTATGTCCTTTTCTACTTTATTATAATCTTTCTCAATAACAAATGTTGTGTACTTGCAGCACAGATAAAATGAGCGAGGCAGCCATTCTCAGTGTTGTGAGAAAGAATTTTCCCGATCACCTTATTTTAGGAGAAGAAGGAAGCGTCATTGGAGATTCATCTTCTGATTATCTTTGGTGCATAGACCCCTTGGGTATGTGGTTTACTGGTCTTTTAGTTGGATCAAGATACACATTTATCTGAAACATCTATTTGGTTCTTTGAACTTGAACTGCATACATGATACATGTATATATGAATTTTATGATGTTGGATAACAGTTTTCCATAATTCTTCACACTACTTAGTCCCGTGTAATTCATTTGATCTAATCATATCAGTTTCCTATAAGCCGGCATTGATATATTTCATTATTAGGTAAATTTTACTATGGAGAACCAAAAAAAATTGTACAATTATGCTGCTATGTGTTTTGGGAATCAAACTAAGCACCAAATGGTGGTATGATTCGTGGACGGATCTCTCCTTCCTTGTTGCTAAGTAAAATAGCATAGTTTTTTCACTTTTAGATTGGTCGTCTGTAAGAATATAAGATGGATATAACAATCCACCCAATGCATGATGCTGGGTAACCCCTTGAAATATAACATAACAAGGAGAGTGGTTTAATATTAGCTCATATCAGGAGACACACTTATCATCTAATGCAGCCTTAGCCTTAGTGATAGAGTCCACAATATGATCCTTCCATATATTATGGTGGATTTTATTTGATGATCAGTCGGGTAGGATTGTCTTATTTTTGTTATATAAATAATTAGGAATTTAGGTCACTTTAGTCAATTTGTATGGTTTATTATCGGGTATGCATACTTTAGTCTCTTATAATGTCTTATTAGGGTTTTTTTTTTATCTATATATATATATATATATATATTGATGATGTAATGCCACATGTTGTTTATTAGATTAGTGATAAAACGATTTGAGAGTTGTTATGAAGCACTAGGAAAGTAGTTCATTTTATTGTTTGCCCAAATCAGCTTCCTTCTTTGTTTTGTTCTGCATGACATTGTGTTCATCAGTATATTGGCTGTAGGGGTGTTCAAAAAAACCGTTGGACCGCTCAAACCGGCCGAACCAAGTCAAACCGGGACCCTTTTTGGCGGTTTGAGCGGTCTGGCGGTCCGGTCTGGTTTGGAAAATAGCAAAACCGGGCGGTCCGGTCCGGTCTGCGGTTTGGAAACTTTTTTGGGCGGTTTGGACCAAACCGACCGCCAAATATATATATA